TTTTTAGCGCAATTATATTCAAATTATATTGATTCAGTGATATGGTTCATGCTCTGGATTCATCTTTTTGAAAGAAAGAAACAAAATATACACAGCAGGTACCCCTGCAGAATGTTATATAAGAGCTACTGTTCTCTGTAGGACACATATGTTTATTTGTGACTTCCACGGTATTCATGTTAAAAGATGACAGAAGAGATGAGATTGGTCTTGTAAGCTAAGACACTGATCTGCAGTCCTTCACCTTTTCTTTTTACTGATATCCTCGCTTCCCAAGTGTTTTCTCCAAACCTAGATTCTCCGAAGCCCCAGAATTCCAACAGGTGTTTCAGGCTGGGTTTCTATTAACCAGCCGTGTTGACTTCCTGTCCCTCCAGTCAGTCAGCCTGACCAGTCTCAGGCAGTGATGGACGAACCCCTGGACCTGTCTTTTGGAAAGGTTATTAAGCGCATGGAGAGAGACCTGCTCAATAATAAGGAAACACCGCTGTCCACCAACTGTGCTTCTTTTGTCAAGTCACTTCATCTCTTTGAAAAGCGGTTTTCTCTTCCTCTGTCCATGAAACGGAGGTATCTCCGTCTCATCCTGCCCATGTGCCAAAGTGGGGATAAGACAAACAGGCCAAAGCCTAAGGTCATGTGACCTGGCTATGGGAATAAAAGATTGATCAGGCCATCTCGGAGCAGGGTCCCTGTGATGTTTCTCTCAGAGTGACCTGGGAACTGCTCTCAGGAGGTCGTGTTTATTAGTCTCCCTACAGTGTTTTGAGAGTAGATTCTGTGTCATGTTCTTGTGTCCTCAGAGACTAGCCCAGCACATCGTCTCATTAAGTAAATGGTAGTTGAATAATGAGAGAGCTGTTTCTTCCTAAGTTCCATGAATAATCACAGCAGCTGATTAAGCACCATTTTTGTATTTCCTGTCAGAACACTCAGAGACTACCAGCAGTGATCCATGGTTTCCAGCTGGAGTAGTACTTTCTCAACTGGGAGGTCACAGTGATGACACAAGCCTCAGAGTTTTTGTGAAGATTAAATGAAAAGTGTATCCCAAAGCTGATTAGGTACCTGGTGAAAGGGGAAAGACAAGTAGGGAGAGTCAGACCTGAGATATTTTCCACTCCAGCACCTGCTTCTACTGGGAACTTGAAGAAGCCACAGAACTTCTTTGAGCCTCCGAGCCTCTGACCCCATCTGAACAATGAGGTGGACAGTGCCTGTCCTCCTTCCCTTTTATTATTTACAACAATAAAACAGATAAGGGGTCCCACAAATGTAAGAAATTCAGTGGAAAGAACCGTGGACTAAAATGTATAAAGCCTGGCCTTGACACTTACTAGCTCTGCAACTTGTGCTACTGAAAATGAAAGTTCAATTAGTTTGTTCTTCATGCTTTTCCTGCTAATAGAGATGGACTTGCAGAAATTCTCTTAATACACATACAGGCTTAAAATAATCACCTTTATAATTTTAGGCCTTGTGAATACTAAGAAAACATTGCACTAAAACTTTTGTCCATCTTCTGAATGATGTCTGAATTTACAGACTTCGTTCCACTTTCCTGTATCGAAAGAATTCGACTGTACTCAGTAACAGTGCAAGCTTTAGTCAGTGTTCTCACTTTATTGGTAATGAGTTGTACTCTCTTCTGTCAATCTGTTTTGGTGAGATGGGAGGGTGGGGTAGCCAGAGATCAACCTGGCTGTTCACAGTTTTACCTGGGTTTGTCCTGCACACCAGTGGATTAAGCTAATATATGCATTCATAGGAATAAAAATACTCACTTGAGACAAGAATTACTAGACTCTGCAACCATGACAACCATCTCCAGGCTCTTTCATTTCGTAAATGTCACACCTGCAGTATTTGCAAGGGCCTTGGACTTCTTCCCATCTAGCCTTGGGAAAATGAAAAATGTTCATTTTTCATATGGGAAGCGAGGCCCCAGGGAAGCAGTTTACTAGCGGTCACAACAATTTGAACAAAGAAAATCCAAAGTCCCAAAGTTGCATGCCATATACTTGGTTACCCTACGCGGAAGGGAGTTTAACCACTGAGAAAATAAAATCTGGCACTTCCCCATGGTTGCGGTGTTTGTCATAAAATCTGCCCTTTTGATTTCTTGCTACTCTTCAAACAGAACCAGAGGTATTTGTTTTATTTCAGGTGTGACATTTTGTAGCTTTTAGCACTTTTAACTAAGAACTGGTGTTGGGGTAATTAAAAAAAAAAAACTAGGTTCTGAAAATCATGCTTGTATTAGTCTTGGATCACTGTGGAGGTCTTATTCTCTTGTGCTAAAAGCTTTGCATGGGTTACCTCATTTAATCTTCCAATAAGAAGGTTATGACCTATGAGGAACTGCATTTTCCAGCTGAGGAAAATGAAAGTAAGAGAGGTTCGGTGATTTTCCAGCATCAGGTAGCTAGTTCATGGTAGGCCTGAGATGAATCCCAGCAGTCTAACTTAACTACTCTTCACGCTTGGCCACGGTAGAAAGATCAAGGAGTTGTTCTTGTCACTAACAATTGCAGATCCTTCAAAATCACCTAGACACATGGATTTCCTGGATGCCCATGTGTGCACACTGAAGTATAAGATCTCCGTGGAAAAGAATTCTGATAGCGTGAGGCATGTCTAATATCTAAGTATTTTGCTACTTCTGGTTTTTAGTTTATGTTGGTGAGGGAGATTAGCACTAATATTTATTAGAAGGGGAAAGAGTTATCCTCATAGCATAGCAGCTCTTCAATAAATGGATACTGAATTAATCCTATTTTCTAAGGAAAATGACACTGGATCAGGAACCAGAGATCTAAGTTCTTAGTTGTGGGTTTAACAGCAGTTCACGGCAACAATGTCAGTTTGTATCTACACCCCTTAGCTTTCCACATCTTAAAGGGAGTCCAGAAATATAAGCATCGGTGATTCTGCAGTGGCATTGTTCACTGTAGGGCTCATAGCTGGAGTATCCACTGGAGTATCTGAGCGTTTGAGCTGGGCTGCCTGACACTGTCAGGTCCTGAGAGATTCATCCAGGCTAGGACTTTGGGTAAGCTCAGACCTCATGAGCAAGGTGGAAGGGAGTTACCATGATTTTGGAGCAGCACTTGCTAGACACGTTGTTGCTCTGAGCAACTCCTAAAGGTTGGTAGGTTGAGCATTGTGCCACTAGGTCTGTGGAGAGAAACTGAGAGAGCTAGGACTGCCTGTTTGGGGCCTCCTAAAAGAATGACTGCAGCACAGAGAATCCTTCCTCTTTAGAGACTGTTGGTGCACAGAAGCCCCTACGAACCAATAAGGATGAGAGGAGCAAGAGCCACATGGACAATACTGCAGGAGTCTTCAGATCCGGAGATCAGATCTCCCCCAAGACGGAGAGCAGTGACAGAGCTATAGCAGTGTAGACCTTAGGGACTTCAATATAACAGGAGACCCGAGGAAGGATCATCCCTCTCCATCGTTCCCATATGCCCTACTAGCTGGGTGAAAACTAGGAAAATGCAGGTTACACACCAAAGAGAGCTGAGGTTTATGAGGTGTCGTGACCTCCAAGGTGCACGTTTCTATCCCTCCATCAACTAACTGGCTTTTTCTGGTAATAAAACCTTAGATGTATTTGATTATGGTAATATTAGACATTTACAGCCCTTCTGGTATAATTCTAAATCCAAAATGCTCTGAAAACTGTTTAAAATAATTTTGTGGGTTGGGGCACCTGGGTGGCTCAGTCGGTTAAGCGTCGGACTTCGGCTCAGGTCATGATCTCACAGTTCGTGGGTTGGAGCCCTGCGTCGGGCTCTGTGCTGACAGCTCAGAGCCTGAAGCCTGTTTCAGATTCTGTGTCTCCCTCTCTCTCTGCCCCTCCCCTGTTCATGCTCTGTCTCTGTCTCAAAAATAAATAAACATTAAAAAATTTTTTTTTAATAATTTTATGGCAAGTTTAACTCATTTGGTAGTAAACCTGACTGAAACAGACAGGATGCTATTGTATACCACACTTAATGAGAAATACCTATGTTTGGTGGCAAAAATATTCGTGTGTTTGATCACAGACTGCCTCCACAGACCAAGTTGTGAACAATATGCAGTTTATGGAAAATGCAGCTTACTGCCTTTCTGAAAGTGGGAGAATTCTGAATTCCAAAATCATCTGGCCTCGAGGATTTCAGAAAAAAAGACTTTCAACCCATGAATTGTTTTGTTTTTGTTTTTGTTTTTGTTTTTTGTAAATTTTGGTGCATTTCTTTATTCCTTAAAGAAATAAATATTTCGTTTGTTCTTCTCACCCTTACAGAGAAAACGAAGTGGGGGGAGGGGAGAAGCAAAACAAATGTAAATGGTGGTTCTCATGCTGATAAACTGTAGCCAAAGCTTTTGGGGGTGTGGGTTCCTCAGTAGGAGTCGGTTTTCGGAGGAGTGAAATCTGGATCTCTACCTTTCCAGCAATCAAAAAAAAAAAAAAAAAAAAAAAAAAAAAATCACCGATGTCGCTGTGGAACCGCGGCACCGTCGTCTACCGCCTCACAGCTGCCAGCCAGAGCGGTGTGGGAGCTGCTCGGCCTTCTGTGCGTGTGGCTCGCGGGACCATAGCGCCATCTTTCTTCCAGATTTGGAATCGGATCTTCACCCGGCTTCGGGCCGACTTGCCTGCTTGAACATCCACAAGACTCTCCGCACCAAGACAATTCCTTGACACTCAGATCGGAAAGGAAGAGCTGCAAAGGGGGCTAGAAAATGTGTTTTCTTTTCTTTGGTCCCCGAACAATTAAATTCGTAACCTAATCTGTTAGGGAATGTGGGCCATAAACCCTGTGTTTCGTTAGTTTGCACCTAGTGAGTCATTTTACACACCAGACATTTTAATTTACAACCTGCTGCATTGCAGCGCTTTTCTAGGCCTTCTGCTGTGTGATAAGGTATTCTTCTGGCCGCTGAGGCTTAAAAAATATAGATACACTCTCTTAGTTCAGATTTTTTTCTTTCTTTTCAATTTTCAGTTGCAAATCAAACATGCAGTTACAGAAGCAGAGATTCAAAAATTGAAGACCAAGGTAAGCACCATTAAATGGTGTTTGAATTGTGCTTTTGAAACTTTGGATGCTATGACTACATTCAACCCTGGGACTAAAAGATTTGTTCCTGTGCATTTGAAAGAGTACAGATGTGAGAGGTTCATTTCCACTGTTAGATAGGTAGACAAACCTGCCAGCGAGAACACCTACCCCGAGGGGGCAAGTGCCACCATACTCCCTCCGTGAAAAGAGCACAGTATTTTAAAAATACATATTTACATATTTGCACATATGTGGCCGGTTCCCTCTGAGATTTCCTCAAAGATTAAATATTGTTAAAGGTTCTAGCATCCGAATTACATTTGACCGCTAATTATACTGTTATCATCCAAGCTCTTAGGTTGTATCTCTCTTTATTTGTCTTATTTTAAGTAGGTTTAATCATTTATTTATTTTTAGCCTATTCATCAGAGACAATGTATTTTAATGTAACACATTCTTTTTCATGGAAAAAAATTCCAGTTCTATTAATTAAATATTATGGAATTTAATACAATATGTGAATAATTGACTTGAGGTGCCAGATGCTCCTGGAAATTTTTAGACAAGTTTAGTTTGTATTATTTAAATTTGTGGGAAAAAAACAGTTCTTGATAAAGGGAGTATGTATTCTTAGTTTACATATGAAATAATACAAGATTCAAAAGGGCATGTTTAGTCGGTGAATTATAAGGTACTTGTAAATTACTAGAACTGTGTCTAATTTTATCAAATATGTCATTTCAAAGATTTAAAAATGTTTTTGAATTACTTTTAAAATAATATTCTTTATTGTTTTTATGGTCCTTTAAAAATTAAGACATGATTTCTCCCTCACCACTAATGATCTGTTTTCCTGTTCACGCTGAACACTTATTTTGTTTTTTCCATGTGTTTTAAATGGAGATGAATTAGCAGGGCTATTTTGGTTAAATGGTATTCTCAGCTAATAACTCTGTAGCTCCTTAGTCAAAACATGTCTATACATCATTCATGGTGTCAGCCAAGCTCTGTGAATAATCATTTTTAAATTAGTAGTGGTTGATAAATAAACAACTTGAATACAAAACATTGCTTAATAAAAGATGCAGTAAAAACCTAGTCCTATTTTAAATTGCTATTGTTTCTTAGCACAGAATGGAAGAATAGACTTTTTTAAAATTGTCGGTTATAATGAGGGGGAAAGATTTCCCCTGTGGATTGTAAGTGCTTTAACAAAGCTTATATGTTAGACCAAAAACATTTAATTTAGAAAATCCTATAAATAAGAAGTTTGTATTTTGTTCTTTATTATATTGGCATGTAATATTTATAATAGCTTATTTTACTATGACTCTTTATATCCATGTTGAAAATCGAATTCCTAATTTTGAAATATTTTTATTTTTGACTTTGTAATCTGTTTTGTCAATGCATTTAGTTTAAAATATACATATATATACATATATATGTATTTGCTGAATGTGGTATGGTTTGGGGATGTCTTAGATTTTGAAAATTGTTAGTTGATAATAACTCCGCATCCTTTTGAATTTGAAAAGAAGCATGTGAAATAGGTGAAGCACTAGTTTAAAGGTCAGTTATTGTGAATAAATGACCTTTGACCCCTCACCTAACCGATCAGACTTGAATTTCTGTAGAAATAAGGCGGTTGGACTAGTTTACTATCTTATTCCTAACAGTCCCTGGAAGCAGAAACACAGAAAGCTTCCTTTCTGTTTCATAGGAGGGATTTAAAATAATTCAGCATTAATTTATATTTTTACTTTCAGTATCTTTTATACTTTCATGCAAATTGTAGCTTATAAGGCTCTGGAAATTCAGAACACTGTCAGCAGAATAATGAGCTACAGACTATGTTCATGTCAATTGAAATAAAGGATGCCATCATATTATTAAAAGGGATAAAAACAAAGTGAAGATAACTAACATTTATCAGATTATGGCCAGGAGCAGTTCCAAGTATGGCGTTGTGTTACATCACAGTTCTGTCTTATAGGTAATATGCTGGAGTCTTAGAGAACTTGAATTAGCTGCTTAAGGTTTAAAGGCCAACAATAATGGCAGAGCTGGGATTCAACTCTAGACTGAATGACTCCAGAGACACCCCCTCCCCTCATAACTATTAGGCCAAACTGTACTTCTGCCCTTCTCTCCTTCTCAGCATGCCTCTCCCCCTTTTGCTTTTTAGTTAATTTTTGTATATGTAATTATATGAAGAAAGAAACTCTAAAAGAAAGTACACTGAAGTTCATTGGATAGAATCAGTCAGACTCTAAAACATTATTTATTTACCGTTCATAGAATTTCAAACCGCATGGTATGATGGAAAGATCATGGGAGTTGAAATCAAATCCAGGCTGTATTATTTATCAGATGTGTGACCTTGGGCAAGCATTTCAATTTTCAAGGCTACCATTTTATAATTTCTGAAATGCTGCAAATACGACTTGCTCTTCTCATCTCAAGGTTCTAGATGATTAAGTATATGTGACAGTAGAACTTAATTTAAAACATACTATAAAGACATGAAGGATTTTTGCTACAGAATACCCAGATTATCCTTATCTTGACATTTGCTTTCTCCAGCTGCAAGCAGCAGAAAATGAGAAAGTGAGGTGGGAACTAGAAAAAACCCAACTCCAACAGAATATAGAAGAAAATAAAGAGAGAATGTTGAAGCTGGAGAGTTACTGGATTGAGGCTCAGACGTTATGCCACACGGTGAACGAGCACCTCAAAGAGACTCAAAGCCAGTATCAGGCCTTGGAGAAGAAATACAACAAGGCAAAGAAATTGATCAAGGATTTTCAACAAAAGTAAGCAGCTTCTAATGACTAAAGAATAGATGTGTGCATCTAAAGAAGGTGTATGTCCCATCATTTTGTAACATTTAGTAGAACAGAAAAAATAATCTTGGTTATCCCTTTAAGAAGCATAGTTAGAAAGCATAGTTTTGGAAATCACTTCTATGGTGTTTTCATGTAAGATAATATTTTGTTTATCTTACAGTTTTTTGGCAGTCGGTTATCTCTGGATTTCTTTTTGATAGTCATTCCTAGTAACTATGAAAACATTTAAATTTCTGTCCTTTTCGAAATAACTCTGTGACCAGGAAGCAAGAAGCCCAGTTGAAGTCACGCACACCCACCATACATACAGAGAGAGCAGCAATTGGGCCTTGATGAGGCTGCTTCTGTCTCTGTTAGAATCAGTAACTGCAGAATTTTCCCACTTCAGATGGTGTCAATACTGACTAGCAAGACCCCCTGCCCTGCCATTTTCTCTTTCTCAGCTGTCGAGAGAAAACACAAGGGCCTCAGTCCCCTGCAGAAGGAGAGTCCCGGCACTACACTCTGCTTTTGCATTTCAACAGCTCTTTCCACACTCATGCTGCTTTGCTTCCCTCTGTTGGATTTTGGTGTCATTTCAGGGAAATTTTTACGGAATTTTTTCATCAGTTTACTTCTGGCCAGTTAGAACAACAGAAAGCAGTGTCGGTACCCTTCCCCACGCCAAGCCTTAGAAGCGAAGTGTATGCATAAGATTCATAATGTCTCTGTCATTTCCTATCACAGAAAAAATGTTTTTAATATTTAAAGGAGATTGCTATAAAATGTTTGTTAAAAAGGGAGAAATCACCCTTTGTGATCATGAATTCAGTACATCACTATTTTAACCCTTCTTGCCAAATATATTATGCCTAATTTTATTTCATGAAACAACCTTATAACAAGCATTGCCAAATTTTCAGGTTGTAGTCCAGGCTCTCAAAATGGAGATATTTTCTCCCTCTCCCCATATTATCCTCAGGTGTGTAGGCGACAGCTCCCCTCCTCCCCCTTGCGGTGTTTTTGACCCACCCAACCCTTCACCACTGTCATTCACAGAAGGAAAATTATAATTATCTTTTGTAAACTCTTACCATCCAGTTCTATCAGCTTACTAAGCATATGACTTTGTAAGTGTGGAATTATAACTACATGACGTGTAATTATCTCCACTAAACTTACCCAAGGTGGGTCATTAGTCCAGTAGCTTCTCTCTAGACTTGTCTGGGTGTTCTAGAGTCAGGAGTTACAAATGAAAATCACAGTAAGCAGATTCAAAGCATTTTTCCTTACTTTGAGATCCATTAAAATATCTTATTTGCTTTCATTACTAGATACCTTTTTTTTCTAACTATGATTGAGTCTTGTCTATTTAAATAGCTGTCCAGTTATTTATCCCACTGTGCCATTTATTGCTTCAAATAAGAATGTTCACATGTTTCCTCATTTATTGGGTATCTGATGCAATCAGATCTTTTGTTTTCTTCTTAAGAGAACTTGATTTCATCAAAAGACAGGAAGCAGAAAGAAAGAAAATAGAAGATTTGGAAAAAGCTCATCTTGTGGAAGTTCAAGGTCTGCAAGTACGGGTGAGTTATGTGCTTGGGACTACTAAGGAATAGGATGGTTTTGCTTAGTACTTGGAGAGGAGTGCTGGCTTAGAGTTTCATGGATGGATTTTTTTTTTTTCCTTAGATTAGAGATTTGGAAGCTGAGGTGTTCAGACTACTGAAGCAAAATGGGACTCAAGTTAACAATAACAACAACATCTTTGAGAGAAGAACATCTCTTGGTGAAGTCTCTAAAGGAGATACCATGGAGAACTTGGATGTCAAGCAGACATCTTGTCAAGATGGCCTAAGTCAAGGTTTGTTTAACCTACCGCAAAAATTGTTTTTAATGACTGTAAAATTTGGCTTTATATTCTTCTTTTTCCTTCCCAGAGATTTAAAAGTTGAAAAATCTTTTCTGCCATGGGAAAGAAAAAAAGGTTTATCAAAATAAAAACCTATTATTTCTTTCTTGTTTTATCAAAACTCAATGATTTCATGTAAGGAAATAACAAAATTGAAACTTAAGGCAAGCCAAGTGTTTTTAAGCCATCATAAAATTGATAGACTTAATAAACTACCTTAAAAAAACAAACTACCTTAAAATGATAGTTCGCCCCGTTGGGTGAAGCTATACTACTTATGTATTAATAAGTAAAGCTTACGATTTTTAAGTTATTAGAATGAAGATCTTTTTCCTAACATCAGAAGGCTGATTACCTACTTCTGGTACTTGGAATTCATTGAGTTAAGAAGTTCTGCATCGTTTTATGCTTTTACCTTGGTGTCCTTATATACACTTCCCATTCTTTCCTGTCAAAGACCAAATAAGATCGAAACGCTGGAAACATTTTCTGTTGTAAATGTTTGTCTTGTTTTACATACCTACCATAAATCAGTCACTTACTTTCTTGCACAGACACACGTCCATACGTAGGTTGTGTGTATGAATGTGAATGAATGTTTTAATATTTGTGGTATATTTATAAATTAGAAAATGTATAAGAATTTATCAAGATAAATACACAGGAGGATATAAAACCTCCGGTTTCATCTTTTAAAGTTTGTACCTAGTGGTCCTTGGAAAAAGCGAAAATAAAACAATGTTGTGAATTAGCATTGTCATCTTAGGACACAGACAGCTTACAGTCGGTGATTTGCCATGCAGTAAAACTGTCACTAATGACCTATTTAATTCTTTGATGATCTTTCTAACATATTAAAATGTCTCCAACGAGACTTTCCTGATACACAAGTGCTCATTAACACAAGTTAATGAACTTTTAGAACTAAACTCGTAGCCATGAAAAATGAGAAGTGTTGGACATCTTCCTTCAGAGTGAGATCTAGAGATTTGAGACCAATTTACTGCATTTATATCTTTTTGCGAGGCTTTCCCTTGATAAAATATGACGTGCACACGACACCTCTTGGGCAGCTCTAAGAGGAGTATTTGGCACCAGCATCACCGCTAACTGAAGACCTGTGTGTCTTCGGGAAGGTCACTCAGCGTCTCTGGGTTGGCTTTACTCTGTATAATATAAAAATAGTAACGCATCTTTTTTCTTCACACCAATATGTGTTTTGAGGTTATATGACTTAGTCCCTGAGGTGAATGAAAGCAAATTTATTAGAGCTTTTATAGGATTCTGGTTTTTGTATCTGGAACTCTATAAAGATTGATTTCTAAAGACAAATGCCAGAAAAAAAATTAGTTTCTTTTTGAGTATTTTAATTAAATTGTAGTTTGTAGCAAACATGTATTTCTACTGTGGCATGCACCAAGTATGATCAGTAACCAGTAGCTTTCCAATGTTCAATTCATTTCTGTTCATTTCTTTCAATTCAGAAATCTGTATCTTCTCAAACATATAATTAATGTTATTTATTAAATTATGTGACTACAGAAGATAAACAAACTATACTATTAACACGCTGCTTTGGATCAAAACCTTATATTTCTTCTGAACCCTTTTCCTATTCTACACCCTCCATTTTGCCACATAATTATCAGTTTCCCTAGCAACACTGTCGGTTCACAGTGAGATGCAGAGACTACTAATTCTTACTGAAACCAATCCATGCTTGTGCGGTTGAGGTAGAATCAGTCATCTTAGACATTAGCAGCATACATATCAAGCGGCGCTCTTCCAGTTTTGCTGCCGAGGACAGTCAGTGATAAATCTCCTTGAATTTCAATTGCTTGATCACATAAACTGAAATGGCTTGGTCAGTAGCTAGATAGGAATGCTCTGGAAAGCACTTTTCTAAATTGATCCTTTGCGTCTGTTGCTAGGGAACGCTGAAGACCTAGAGGTTTGGAAAAGGAAGTAAACTGTGGACCTGACACAGGCCATTTGACATTTCAAGATCCACGCTCCCCCCCTGCCCCTCCCCACACCTTTCTGCAACAAGATAGGTACAGCAGTTGCCGTCAGTTCTGTTAGTTTCTGCCCCTTAAATACAGGGCCTTTTCTCCCCACTTCCTGTGGACTGTCCAGTTCTGACTTGCTTTCTGAGCACTGGAGTGTTTTATTGATAGGGTGAGTGCTTTAGCATATTTTTAGGCCTTGAGGCAGCTCAGTGAAGTGAAAGGATTATCATTTAAAGTCAATGAAAAATTATGTTAGAATGAAATAGTGAAAGAAGGAGAAAAGAAGGAGAGAGTGAAGGAGGCAGAAAGGGAGGAGGAGGAGGAAAGGAAGGACACATAAGCAGCCATTTCTTCACAGGACTCATGTTCTTCCAGGAATGGGCTTCCCAAATGAGGAGGGATTAATTACGTGACTCTCAACATTGAAGTATTGTAAGTTTTTAGAGTGATAAAATCGTTTTCAGGCCATGCAGAAGTTTACCACAGTTACAGTTCTATTTGAGCACCATTTGTGTGCTTCTCTCTATAAACCAAGCCTATCCAAGTATCTCATTAAAATTTTGATAGAATATATATACAAATCCATAACTTAATATCCTCTAATATATTTTTCTTATCATAATACATAAAAGAAATAGAACAGTTCTTTTCACCAGGAGCCATGACAAATCCTTATTAAGGATTATTACTTAATTATTAAGAGTTATTGATTAGCACTTATTTATTAAATAAACACATTATTTTTCTTGTGTTCTGAGACATGAAAAGTAATTATTTTGCCCTCCTGCCTTGTTTTATGTTAGTCATTTCTTTTTCTTTTTTTTAAGTTTATTTATTTTGAGGTGGTGTGGGGGGAGGCAAAGAGGGGGAGAGGGAGAGAGAGAGAGAGAGAGAGAGAGAGAGAATCCCAAGCAGACTCCTTGCCATCAGCACAGAGCCAGATGTGGGGCTTGAACTCATGACCCATGAGATTATGACCTGAGCTAAAGTCAAGAGTCAGATGCCTAACCAACTGAGCCACCCAGGCACCTCTTTTATTTGTCATTTCTTAGTGCCTCAGTAGTGCTGGTCTATGTAAGAGTTCTCTACCGTGTATCCAAGGGCCCTTAGTGACTAGAAATGTCTGTGACTATCCAGGTTTTTAAGTCAGGATTAGAATAAGAGCAGAGAACAGTCATGTTAGAGAGATCTTGGTAGAAAAGGGTGGTAGTCCTAGTTTGATTAGATTCCCTGGAGATCACTTTAACGACATGCGCTTCCTGCACTTCAGAAATTCCAGGATCCTTAAGATGAAACTGTTTTCATCTTCAAATATTTCAAAGGCTCTTTTGTGAAAGTTTATGCATATTCCATAGAGATAATGAAAGAAAGACTAAAACTAATTGATAAAAGTTACATATGAAGGAAGATTATGATTATCCATCCTCGAGAGGTTAAAAGTAAGTTTGATACCTTTAGAAAAGTATTTTGAACCCTGAAAGCCTAGTGGCATACTGACTAATAAAAAGAAAGATGGCTCCGGGGTAGAAAGAACAGTGTTTGTCTCTGCTAACTATACAACAAGGCATGTAACTTATAGGATAAAGGATGGAGAAGGTCAAGTATTTGGCATAGGACAAATACATACAAGATACATTTTAAGAGATGAGAAGGAGTTTGAAGAAAAGGGAAAAAATGAATAAAATTAGAATGATTTTTTTTTCTGATTCAGAGACTTTATGTTAAAGAATGAGACCTGATGTTAAAGGTATGCTACAGGGTATTCTTGGACTAAAAGTAGGCTTTGAATACCTGAAGAATTCATACTTGTTTCTGTAACCACCATGACCCATTGATACTTTGGAGGCATAACAGGAACTGGGTCACTAATAGGTTTGTAAACGTAGTTCAAATATCCCTGTGAATTTTGGGTATTACTACCAAATGCTTCTTTCTCATACACACTTACTCAACCATTGGGCCACTAGAGAACACTGAATGTTATTTTCCCTAAAGTGTAAACATGGAAGATTATATAAAGCATTTTATTCATAGTTCTTTAGTTACTTACCATTCCGTAGCTCTAATAAGAACTGTGCCAGAAGTCTTTTTCTTCACATGGAAGAAATGGACTGAAGGTGCAATATGGCAGATTGTAAGAAAGTCTAGACTTTCAGCATAAATTGTATCTGGAATTAATTACTGAAACCTGGGTGTCTTTAAAAAAAATTTATCAGCTACTTTCCAGGTAATTTAAGTATATCCTGGATAAAGGAGTATAAGGATATGAAAATAATACCTTCTCACTTCCTCTCCTTTCCTTTACACTTTTTCCACAAAATGGTTTGACTGTTGCAATAAAGCTCTAGATTTCCTAAAAGTACATCCCTAAGATGGTAGTCTGCACCTGAATCATGGACCCAGGACGCTTGGTCTGAAACCTAGGCCTTGTGGACATGTCAGTGGAACTCTGAGCCTGCTTAGATATTCAAGCCAGTCAATTCTCTGATCATCAGGCCCCACCCACATATATTTGCTTATTGTGAAACAGCGGTTAGCTTATTGGTTTGCATGGAATCTGATTTCTCTGAATTCAGTCACTTCTTTGAAATTTACTCTGATTTAAATAAAGTCTTTATCAGGAAGAGCCAGGTAACCAGATGCCATTAAGAGTATCTACCTTTTTTACCCATGTGTTTTTATCCTTATACTTCATTCATTCATATATTGTCTAGAAGTAACTTGGGGAGACACCTTTATATGACAGGATTGGATAAATTGATAGTGGCAAGATAAGAAAGAACAATAAGGGTGAGGAAAGAGTGGAACCAGAAATACTGCAAGTATTTATACCATGCTTATAGTATTTCTGAGGCAAGGCCTTTTACCTGGCTCTCAGCTTTCTAGTTGTCAGAAGGAAAGGGGGAAACCTTTGTTCATTACATCATTCACAGTGTTCCTAAG